CCAATACCAGAAGCGACTTTCTTTGTTACTTTCTCGATATGGCCACTCCAATCAAGTCTGTCATCGATGGTCACTCCAAGTGATTTTGCAGTAGTGACCTGGCTAACTTGAAAATCATTAATTGCAAATGTAGGGGACTCTGTGAGAGTACTTAGCCTCTGCCTACATCCGATAAGTATAAATTCGGTTTTAGTCATATTTAGAGTAAGTTTGTTTGCTCTGAGAGAGAGCCTGATTGATATTTACAAATTATATTGTGCTCTTCTAGGTAGGCATATAATTGATCACAGACGATTCTAGAGTTACATGCTTTGCTGAAAACTAGGAATATATTGCAAAAGAAAATAGAGCTATTAAGATGACATTTTCTTCATATACCCTTTTTTAAATATATATTTTTTGCCTTGAAGGTGAAACACTGCAGAGAACTTGGTATCGGTGGTGATAGTGCAGCCAGACTCCTCATGTTTTTTGGTATAGCCTCGTTTTCAGCTCGGCTTCTTATTGGTAGATTAGGCGACTGCAAATGCGTCAGCTCCTTACACCTGATACAAGTGGGCTCCCTTGGTGTAGCTATCACCATTTTGCTTCTGCCTTTGGCGCGAGCTTATACGACTTTTGTGGTCTTTTCAATTGTTGACGGATTTCTTGATGGTTTAATGGGATCCCAGTTTAATCTCGTTCTTCTGACAACTGTAAGTCCACAGTTAAGAGCGACTGCCTTTGGTTACGCCAACTGCCTTGCATCACTAACTCTGACGATTGGACCTTCTATTGCAGGTCAGTACTAGATAGCCTCCCACCTAGGCGTTTTTAGGGGAGGTCGTCTTTCATCCCTCCCCATACTAATGTGGGGAGGGGATGAAAAAGGCCGGCTCCCCTAAAAACGCCCGCTTGGGAGGCTAAGTATTAGAGAGATTGTGTTGTCTCGGCGGGTCACCCCACCTATCATGTTAGAAAGATTAAATTGTGAAATGAGAGATTTTATGGACGGGCGAGTTACCCGGACTAAGCGGGATACCTCATCCACTGCAGAACACCCTTTATCCATGCATACGGGCCCTAAACAGTCAATGGACTTTTTTAGCTTGTATGTTTTGATTTTTCCCATTACAGGTCATGTGATGATACTCTAGAGAACTGTTTCTTTAAAAATATTCCTTATTCACCTGCATATCTAAGCATAATTTACGAAGAGACAAAGAGTCAAGTTTCGCTGGGACCCCTATTAGAAAAACAAAACATACAAGCTACAGAGGTCTACTGCGAACAAACTTCCAGGATGCTCCAAGAAAACCGTTATGAGATTTTAAAACCGAGACAAAAGAAATCAACACATACATTATTTGATATGTATGTCATGATTATGTGTTTTCATTTTCAAAAATAACGTTTGCATGTATGCACACATGTGGTTGAATATAACCTAATTATTTTTCTCACATTATTATTTACTTTAACTTTTCTATTTTATTCATTGTTATCATTACTTTAGTGTATTGCTAAATTTTCTTTTTTTGTTTATTCGATTGAATCAATTGTCAATGGTATTTGATTTTGGCGTGTATTATTGTTTAGTGATGTAGTAAATTGTCTACAAAATAGTAAACTTGTGAGGACTTTGAAAAACTAAGAAGCTGAGCTGTTTTTTTTTTTTTTTTTAATTTCCAATGACTTTACGTCAATAGTACGTATTATAACCGTTCTCAATTTTACAGATATTTCTACGCTTTTTTCGTCTTCAATGACACTTTATAGGTATTCTAGCGGACAAATTAAACTCCTACATTCCAGCGTTTTTTCTGGCGGGAAGTGAAGTGCTTCTTGGTTCATGTATTACCTTCCTTTTATGTTTCGCTAAACTGGAACCAAAGCAACGGACAGATTTCACCGAACAACAGAACGATGACGAAACACTTCAACAAATAATGAGCAAAAAGACAGAGCTACATGAAGACAGAGGAGCATTGCTTTTGAAAGTTGGAGAGTTAGATGAGGAGCTCCAATGTCCTCTTCCAAACGCTTTTCTAGAAGAAGAAACATTTTCGTACAAGTGTACAAGTGTTTAAGTAAGTGTTTCTTTTTTCTTTTTGCAGTCTTCTTCAGTCCTTAGCTTTGCTAGATGATTTGAATCATCAAAAGTGTTGCAGCCGCTTAACACGGTGCAAAGCTGCTCGTCCGAAAAGACATACCTTTTGGTTAATTTTATCGTTTGCTTACCCAGCTTTTATGAGTAGAGTTGTCAGCAAAGACTAAAATTGCTGGAAAAGTTTGGGTTTTACGTGATTGTCTCCCTGTGTCGCCGCCACAAGCAAACTAGTGTGACATGCGCACTGTAAATATCCCTGTGCAATACAAAATGGTACGTGGTGCCAGGAGTCGCATGGCCATTCACTTTGTCATACTCCTTTGATTACTGTTTATCGATTGATTAATTGTTTAATGCCCCTTTGTAGGTCTGGTTTAAAAAGAAGCGAGCAAAATATCGCCGGCAGAAGAA